ATCCCCCGTGGAACGGAATGAATGGAACGGAATGGTGGCCCGCGTGCCCCTCCGCGCCCTGACACGACACAGGCTACGACCTGTTCCGGCATACGCGTGTGCTGGCCGGCGGCGGGCGCGCGCTGTCGGTGCCGGCAGCCGTTCCAGCCGCTTGACGGTCCTCCGACCGAGCTGGCGCGCGTCGGGAGCTGCGGGAATGTCGGCACCGTCGCTGCCATGTGGGAGGGCGAATCCACCCCCTCTGCCAGGCACTGCCGCGCATGCGCGTGCGCTACCGGATGCCGCGGGAGTTGGGCCTGTTTGACCTTGGCGTTTGGGGCCAAAGGGCCGCCTCGGCGCATCGCCCAGGCTGGTTTCGGTGTCTTTGCTGTTTGAATGTGTGGCGATCGCGGTCCGACTTAACTCGCCCCACGCTTTTGTTAATTGCTTATGTCGGTGCATGGTCTGGGATGAGGTCACCCCATCAGTATGTCACGTCCGAGCTCCGGACATGACGGGTCGGCCGCAGCCCGCTTCCCCCTCCCCCTCCACAAACCGCCCGAGCAGGGAATACCGCGCCGTCGCGTGCAGACCATTTTTGGCGCGCTGTATCGGCGATTCGCCGCCGGGTGAGGTCATCACCAGGTGGCGCGCTTGCATGTGGGCGGACGACTGAATCATGCCCCCCGCCCCCCGCCTCCTTCCCCCCGGGGAGCGGCGCCCCACTCGTGATGTCTGGTCATGGCCGGTCCCGATCTCGACAGCGGCGGCGGAAGCGCGCCAGCCAGCGCGGCGTCACGTGTCGGTGTTCTGTTTGCGGCTGGTGAGATGCACACGGGCATTGTCCCGGGCTAATTGCGCGCTGGGTGAGGTGGGCGGGCGAGAGGACTCTGAGAGAGTCACGTCCGGTGTTTCGGCCGGACGCAGCATGCAGACTGGTCATTTGACCCTCTGGAGGTCACCGGCGCCCTGCGGGCGTGCGGGCGGTCTGCGGTCACGTGACGCGATGGGTCCGGCGCCAGCGCTGTGGACGCCCCCCGGCTGGCGTCACGTGGTGCGCGCTCACGTCTGCTCCGTATCATTCAGGGGCCTGGCTCCAACAAAAACAGTAAGGTTTCCGTGAAGTCCGTTGTGCAGTAAGTGGTTCCGACTGGTAGTGGTCAGCTTGTTTTGCGGCATCAGTCACTTAGTGTGCGCCTGTGAGCGGTGCGGAAGTGCAGCCGGGATTATTTTAAGTTGAAATGAGCAGAAGCCGTGTGACCCACGGTTCGCAGGAATTAATTAGCGAGCTGATCAGTTCCGCTGAGGTCTATTTATCTCGGACGATGCGGATGGACTTCGATTCGAGGCTGATTTAACGGTTTTCCGTTTTGTCCGGTCACGTCCTGCGGTCTGGCGGCGCGGCCCATCGAGTTGGCCGCGGACGTCGGAAGGACAGGCCGCCACGGGTCATTGTTCCGAGTGGTGCGTCCCTCGACCCCGCCCCGGCGATGGATGACCCGACCCTGCAGCAGCCCCTCCGCCCCACCGCACCCCGCTCCGTCCTGAGTTGTCTGTTCACCAGCCCCATCCGAAGTTTGCTTTGGGAGCCTCCACCCAGAACAAACGGAAAACGGGCAAAACAGCGCGAAGTGCAGTTTTAGGAGCTTGCGAAAAGGTTTGCTGGTGGCGTTCGTTTGACCTGGCGCCATTCTCCGCGCCCCTGTCGCCATCAGTCTCCCCACGGCGCTGGATGGCGGGCTTCCAAGTCAATTGGACCCGGATTAGTGTAGCTTTGTGGGGCCTGCCAGCCGACGGCTGCGTTTCCCCCGACTTTCCGCGTCCAGCGCCGCTGCCAACGCGTCTCCCCGCCGGCCACGGCCGGACGGCGCACTGCGGGCCGGGGCTCTCACAATGCGTCCAAAACGGATCCGGGAGTTTGGTGTGAAAGCCCCGACAGACGACTTTCTGTTTAGGGCTGGAGTTTCTGTTGTCTCACTCGTCCTGCCTCACTCAGCCTGGAGCTTGATAAACCAAATAGAGTTCTTGTTGACAGGTTTGATAATCACGATATCTTTGAAGTTTGGAGGCGACGGGACGTGGGGCTGGGCGTGTTTGCGCGCGGTGTTGTCGGTGGGTTCACAATTAGCTGATGTAATTAACAACTCGCCGCATACTGCCCGATCTGAAATGGTCCAACCATTTCTCAATGCTGGTATCAAAGGCAGCGAAGAGCAGTTTGCCAAAGTCACAGATGAATTGATCATGTATTAAAGCATTCTTCTTCAACATCCGCGCAGCACGCATGCGGTGGGAGGTAGACATGATCAGACTCTGGCTACTTCGAGCTCCAGAACGGTTGGCCAACTCGATCAGACCTCATCTGGTAAATTACGTAAGTTGTTCAGTGCATTAGCGAGGAGCATTATTCACATAGATAAGACAGCGGTTATGGTCTTCTTCCTGGGAGAAAACCAGGAGAATTGAGACATAGTTGGGTTATCATATGGAAATATAGTTGGAGAATGGAGGTATAGTTGGGTTATCATATCTCCATTCTCCTGTTTTTTTCTTCATTCTCCTAGTTCCTATATCTCCATTCTCCTAGTTGTTCCCCGAGGACTAAGGCCATTTATACTGCATCATCCGGTAAAGCTGCCACCGGCTCCGAAATCCGTGCCAACAAGCTGTCCTCAGCGAGAGAGTGATGATTGCGTATGCGGAGATAGCTTATAGCCTCCTTGACTATAGCATTGCTTTCCGCGTAGCGGCTGATGGGATGATGACTGCGATTCATTTGTACAACTGGCAAACGGCTTGGCCGTTTACAAGTTGTAGACCGCCTGGTCGGCGCTTTGGGCCTGAGGAGGCCCAAAGGCCCTGAGGCCCTGAGGAGGCCCTGCTCCCCGCAAGGAACATCACACCGACATACGGCTGGCAGCGCCGCATGAGGCATGGACGGACGCTGCGTCAGGTCCCTCGACGACCGCTGAGGCGCGGAGCTCACGGACGCTGTCGCAGAGCGCGCACGTGTCCGCGCTCATGTCAGCACGCTCCGGCCGTTTCCCTCCGGGGGCTTCACGCCGCCGGCGCCGGCCTTGTCACGAGGCATGCGGCGGCGCAACCGGTCAGGATGGCGAGCGGCAGGTTTGGAGCGGCAGAGCTCCGTTAAGCCGCTGGGAACGGCGCTCGCGCAGACGAAAAAACGGAGGCCGCGGTCCTCTGATTCCGTGGTGGCGGTGCTCGCGCAGCCACAACTCGCGGTTATCTGCCGGTGGATGATAGCAGGCCGCGGTGTGCGTCTGGTTTGACCCTTTGCCCTGCACCACGGGACCTGCTCGCCTCCTCATCTCTCCCGTGAACCGTCGCATCGCATCGCCGCACGAGCTGGTCATACGCGGACGCTCGGCGCCGCCGTCACTGGCGCCGAGTCGCGCTGGCTTCGATCGGACCGGACTCGCGCCGCGCGCTATCGCGGCAGCGCCGGCGGACTGTGCGGCGCACGGCTCGCTGTACGGCCCTAACTGGCGCACGCAGGCGGTGCGTCTCAATGACCAATCATCATTTCGTTGATGTTTGGTGGGCACGGTGGTCGGGCTGCCCCCAATCATGGGTCGGTAACAAAAACCACGCTTCCGGGGAGAGGCGGTGGGGCAGTAAGTTCACCATATGGTCATAAATATAGATTAGGGCTGACTCGGATAATCACGGAAATAGTCATTTCCAGCGTTGGATAAATGTCATAGTGTCAGATTGTCAGAATCAGGACCTTTAGGATTGGGCCATAAAGTAGCCGGAATATGATGTGAACGCGGTAGCCCCCCCCCCCCCCCACACACACACATTACCATGTCGTGACCAGTAGATTTCTTCGACGTTTTATGGGTGGTTTTCCCCTCATAGCCTATTCTAAGGAGATAATTGTCTTAAGTTATCTGGAGATAGGTTGTAAATAGGTGACGTATTTGCATTTGAAGTGGATTGAAACAGATGATGAAAGCCAGATGTTTCGTCTGTTTTACCTTGGGACGATCGCTGGCATGTGATACGATTGTGACGTTTATGGCGACGTCCTCGAACAACGCCCACACACCGGTGATGAGATTAACGTGGTACGGGGTGGCTAAATGTTTGTTCGTTACGTTTCCGCCGTCTTTAAATCCGAACCATTTTCCTGATCTGTTGCTCTCCTTGTCGATACACGTGCGGTTAAAACACGAAACTCAACTTTTTGCAATAAACCAGGCGGGTAGGAAAATTTAAGAGACTTGTAAACAAACAAGTTAGCAAAAAATAATTGGCATGAGCAAATGCTGACGTGTGCACCTACCCAAAACTAGCAAAGGTGTCCGACAGATTGATCAAATGAAAATGGAACAAAAAATGCTGCGCTCTTGCGTTCACTCAAAGATTGGCTGATGACAGCGTGCAGATAAACATGTGACTTGTACTTTGTTGTGAGTGCAGCGTGTTGTCTGAACTGTTTGTCTTGCCAAAATCTCATCGCTCCTTTCCGTGCTTCCTTATGAAAGCGACATCTCAGAGCCATGATCCATTCTCCAGCTAGTCCACCTGACAGCTCCTCGTTCGTCCGCGCTCCGAGCCGTGCTCCCGGCTGTTCTCCCAGCCGTCCTGACCGTCCTCCCGGCCGTCATCCCAGACCTCCTCCCAGCCGTCCTCCCGGCCGTCACTCCAGCCGCCCTTCTGTCCGTCCTTCCAGCCCTCCATCCGTCCGCTCGTCCGTCCGTTCGCCCGTCCTCGTCCGATCGTGCTTCCGTTCGCCCGTCCGTGCGTCCGTTCGTCCGTTCGTCCATCCATTCCCCGCTCTGCTCCTCCGTGCGTCTGTGTCCGCACCGTCCCGTGCGTGCGTCGATAAGATAGCGCGCCGTGCCGGCGCCGGCGCTGGGCCGCGCGCGCCGCCGGCCCCGCTGACCGGCCGCCGATTCGGCAGTTGTCCGCCGGTCGCCGAGCGCGCAGCGTCGTCCGCCGGCGTCAGCGCGGCCTCGAAGCCATGCCGTCCGCCGCGTCGCTGCTGCCGCTGCTGCTGCCGCTGCCGCTGCTGCTGGCCGTCGTGACGGCGGCCGCCAAGTTCGGGCCGCTGCAGGTGGTGCACGAGTGGCGGCTGCTCGACTTTGACTGGCCGACGCCGGAGGCGCGCCAGGCGGCGCTCGCCTCGAGCCGCTTCGTGCCCGACTACTGCATGCTGAGCGACGTCAAGGCGGTGGACGGCGAGGTGTTCGTGACGGTGCCGCGCTGGCGCCATGGCGTGCCCTCCTCCGTCAACCACGTGGTGCGGCGCGGCAACGCCACCCTGCTGCGGCCGTACCCCAGCTGGGGGATGAACGAGCCCGGGGACTGCCGCAACGTGCAGTACGCGCACGTCATCGAGATCGACCCGCTGCGCAGGATGTGGATCGTCGACACGGGCCGGTGGGGCATGTTCTCGCAGCCGAATGTTGACTGTCCGGCGAAGCTGGTCATCTGGGATATGGTGAAGGAACGCGAGGTGCGGCGCCACGTGTTCCCCGAGGAGGTGGTGGCCAAGACGTCGTCGCTGCTGCGCGGCGTCGTCCTGGACACGTCGTCGCCGGACCCGGCCGACTGGTTCGCCTACATCGCTAGCACGGGCAGCGACCGGCTGGTGGTGTACTCGTACCGCGACGACGCGTCGTGGTTCGTCGAGCACGACTCGATGAAGCTGGACCAGTCGGCGATCGGCGTGCGCATCGGCGACCAGGGCTCGGCCTTCCCGACGCCCATCGACAGCCTGGCGCTGTCGCCGCGCGGCGACGCCGAGCAGCGGCTCTTCTTCGCCGCCGTCTCCAGCTTCCAGTTTTACGTCGTGCGCACGGCGCTGCTGCGCAACCGCACCGAGCTGGAGATGGCCACGCCGGCCGTGCTCGACCAGGAGATCCGCAGCATCGGCTCGCGCAGCTCGCAGTCGGAGGGCATGACCGTGTCGGAGACGGGCATCATGTTCTACGGCGTGCTCAACAACAACGCCATCAACCAGTGGAACATCAGCGGGCCGTTCAGCGCGCTCGATCAAGTGTACAAGGACGACGAGCGGCTGCAGTGGCCCGACTCCTTCGGCTGGGACGGCGGCTTCCTCTACCTGACCAGCAACAAGATGCACAAGGTGGCCATGCTCGACCTTGACTCGTCCGACGAGGTGCTGTTCCGGTTGATGCGCGCGCCCGTCCACATGGCCGGCTACATGGGGCCGTACCGGCGCGGGCGGCGGGTGAGCGTGGCCGGCGCCGCGCCCGCCGCCGCCGCCGCGCCGTGGCTCGCCGCGCTCCTCTGCGCCGCGATCGTCGCCGCGCGCTAGGAGCGCCGCCACTGTCGCCGGACGCCGCACAGGTAGGACGGCGGCCGGGGAGGTCTGCCGGCCTGCTGCCGACCCCGCACGGCTCCGCTCGGCCCCGGGGCGCTGGCCGGGTCGCGGCTTGCTCGACCCGGCCTGGCCTGCCGCGACAGCCCACTAACCTGGCATCACGCGAGCACGGGTCGGCCCAGCCGGCCGCACTAACTGGGTGGCACCGCACGGGCGCGAGCGTGCCCAAACGGCAACGCCCGCTGGGCTGGCACCCCGCGCGTACGTGTGTACCGTGCCGGCCACGCTGGCTGGGCGCCGCGAGAGCGCCGGCCGCCTCCGCGGTCCCCTGCTAACCCGGCATGGGGGCTTGTGTCTAACCCAGCACGACTAACCCGACTCTTGCTGACCGCACGTGCTCGATCTGCCGTGACCGCAACGAACCGCGCGTGCCGAACGCGCCACGACCGCCCGAACTTGTGACGGCACGTGTCCGGCTCTCGTGGTCCGCGCCGCTCCGGGCGCGTGGTCGTGTCGGTGATCACGTGCAGAGCCGGCACGTGGCGACGGACCGCGGTCAAAGTCGCGGAGTGGTTGCGGCAATGTCCTGGATTAGACGTCACGGACGCCGGCTCCAAATGCCGTCATGTGAGGCGGGTTTATGAATTGTTCAGGACTATTCTTAGGCGCTGGGTGCTGGCGTACGGGTTTTCGGAATCTGGTGGCGACTGGTTGGACTGGGCGGTTTACGTCCAAACCTGCGCACATAACTGGGCGTAAGGCTCTGACCGTTCAGGCTACTAGGTGGCGCGGCGGATTTAGGAAACGGAGCTGGTTTTTGAACATGCAGTTAACTTTTCAGATTTTTAAGGCAAACTGGCTGCTTGTCTGTGTCGAGGCTAACGTGATTTGGTTTGGACTTATTGGTGCGTATGCCAGATGTCACTCTTAACTCGTCTTCCCGTTTCACTGTGATTTGATGTTCAGATTAGCCTATTCAATATTGGCGAGTCTTTTTACAGTCAATGCATCACAATGCAGCTGCGGCGCTCCCCACTCTGCGGGAATCTCCACGCTAATGGCGCACAAACAGGGAGACGCTCGCTATGACACGTGGTCTTGGGTCGCCAGCCGCGATTGCGACGTGCTCTCTCAGCTGGTGAGGTCGCCTGACCTTGAATTGAGCCATCCGTGGGGATAGGAAGGGGGGGGGGGCGAGTCGTTTCTAAGCGCTCGCCCCAAAGGCCAGGTGACGTCAGGGAATGGGGTGGATCGTGCCCAGCTTTACGGTCCATTAAGCTTTTGTTGCCGTATTCTGCCGTTAGCCTGGAATTTTACGGCTGGATGGTGGTAGTCGGAGCTCAAGTAACAAGCACTGCTTAGCGTTGGCACCGATCCCAGAAATCCATCCAATTAATGGACTGGGGCGAAATCTTCCAGAAAATAAATTATTAAACCGTCACGGTCAAAAATCCTTCAGTGACCTGATGCTCAAGACATCTGACAATGTAGATGGTATCCCTCTTGGTTGATCGCTGACTTGGCTGTCAGCCTAGCTCTTAAGCTCGTGGATTCTAAAATATAACTGCGCTGAACCGTGTCGTACCCTGTCGATATGTTCCAAAAAAGCAGGACTGCAGATGTAGCCCATCCCCATTTCCGACATTAGGCGGGCTGGGATGGGACCGTGTCGGGAGACTAACCGGCGGCGAACCCTGCTAACGCCCTCCGCCTGAGCTGACCGGCCGCCGGGCTGCAGAGGGCAGCAGGGGTCAGCAGGTCAGTGGGGGTCAACAGGGGTCAGCAAGTCAGCGGTCTAGCGACATGGGCCGGCGGGGCGTCTGTGGACCGCCTCCGGGCCGGGCCGGGCCGGGCCGAGCGGGACCGGCGGCTCCCCGGCGGCCTGGCGTGACTACCGCCCCCGTCACGTGACTGCCGCGCTTGTCACGTGACGCCTCGTGCCCGTCTGATGATCGGTCGAGCGGCGCTATCACCGATTAGGAAATTGAATTCCTGGAAGGAACTGACAAGGGAAAAATTTTCAGGGACTGGTAGCGCTGTTAGGTGCTCTGTCGTGTTCTTGTGATGTCGGTTTTTTGGCTTCTTTTTGTAACTGTACAGGCGAGAGTACTGTTCTTGGCAGGTGCTCATGTCAGCCGTTTCACCAGTGCCTGCTGCTAGAAAGGCTTTAGGATACTTTTAGATGTTCTACGAAATTATGCAAGACCATCCAAAGTGAAGAGAAGCGTTAGAAGAAGAAGTTAGAAGAAGCACTTCTGTTAGGTATGAAATGTTCTTAAGCTGTTTCTGTCACTTATTTTAGCAGGCTGACCAAACAGCTCAAAGCATGAATATGAACCTAGAATTTCCGAATAATTTTAAGACGCCTGATGGCACTTCAAGCCTTTGTGGGAGAGGCTCTGGCCCGTCTCACCACTACTGATCCGACAATAAATGACACCATCTGGCCGCACGGCCGGCCAAGTCGCCTCCATCAGCCGCTGTCGCCACGGCTGGCGTGTCATGTCGTGCCATGAAACATGCAACAGCTGTTACGGCTGGCAGGCCCTCCGTGGCGTCCTGCAAAGGTCGCGGCTCTAGGGCGACCGACCAAGCGGCGGCGGCCCGGCCTCGCCGCATCGATCCGAGCTGAGGCGCCGCCGGCGTCGGCGTCGGCGTCGGCGGCGGCGCGGAGTGGGCGGGGCGCTCTCGCTCTCGCTGGCGCGCGCGGATCAAGGTCATCGCTGACGAACGGGGCGCGGCGGAGCGGCGGGCTTGGAGTGGATGGGAGGAAGGGGGGGGGGGCTGACGGGGCGCGGCGGAGCGGCGGGCTTGGAGTGGATGGGAGGAAGGGGGGGGGGGGCTGACGGGGCGCGGCGGAGCGGCGGGCTTGGAGGGGAGGGGAGGAAGGGGGGGGGGCTGAGGCGGCGGAGATCGACGGCGGCGGCGAGGTTTGACGGCTCGGCCTGGCCGTGACGAGCGAGGCGGATCAGGATCAGGATCAGGATCAGGATCAGGATCAGGTGGCGGATCAGCCCGCCGCGGTCCCGCGGTGTGGTGATGCGGGATGACAAGACGTTACATGGCCGATGCCAAAGATTTCGCGAGATTGGTGGTGCGGAAGGGGGGATGGCATCTTTGACATGGAGGACTGGTCAGCTGGGAGCACGGTCAGAGATCGCCAGAGGTCCCAGGATCATCAGAGGTCAGAGATCTCTGACGCGGTCCCGAGATTGCCTCCACATGAAACATCGACGACACTGTCATCCACCCTGTAATCAGCGCATTGCCGGGAACACGCACCCATTCATATCTGCAGCACAAGGTCAAGCCCACCCATTCATTTGCGTTAGCAGTGCCGGTTGTGGAACGCCCAGGTATTTGCCGTAATGACGTGAGTTCACTGTGTCCGTCCGTTCACCTCCACGCGCTACTCACTGGGCCAGAAAGGCACGGGCGCCGTAATGGACCGAGACGTGATTAGACTGTTGTTTTTGATCCGCCCATCGGCCCGAATCCAGCAGGGAGGGGACGCCAAAGAAAACAGAAAACACGGAGGAACGGAAGTGCAGGAGTCAGGGATAGCATTGACCCTGCTGCAGGATGTCAGGGCCCATGCGCCGACGGTCGGCGGGCGGCGGGCGGGCGGCGGGCGGCGTGCCGTTCTGGGCGGAGGGGGACTCTGCGGAGTGGACGATGAGGCTGTGCTTTCGTACATGCACGAATCCCGTCTTAGGAGGGTATCGGAAACCAACGCCTGTTACGAAATGTAATGTTAAAGCGATAAAAAGGAATAGCTCAACATATCTCGATGCCCCCCCCCCCCTCCCAACCCCCACTTTTTACTGGTGATGGAGCCCCTCGCGTGCGGGCTACTCTGTGTAGAGAAATACGCCACGGAGGTGAGACAGCTGGTGAAAGGGAGAGCTGCTGATTAGCTTATACCGAGCAAGCCAAGCCAAGAGCAAGAGAGGACCTGGCACACCAGCCGGCGGAACTTATTTTATGCAGGCATGCAGTCATACGTCATGAACCACCCCATTGACTTATCGTCAACCAAGCTGCAAATTTGTCATAGGCTCTTGCTCCAGCCTTATGTATAAGTGATTTCTCATGCGAAATTCAACGCAGCACGCCACCGGTTCTGGACCACTTGAAGCCTCACAGCGGCATGCGGAGGGAGACAGCCCCAGGACCACCGCAACAGGCCCTAGACCCGTCTTGAACTCCGCCGGAAGTGCCGGTGTGACTGGCATTGACTGAGCGGAGCACCTGTTTGATGTTGTGATGTCGCTTGTTTCGCGGCAGTGCAGTGACTGGGACACCTGTTGGTGTTTGGCTGCGGGGTTTCGCGCCAGCCGCGGTGGTGTTGGATGAGACACCTGTTGGTGGGCGCGGTCCGGGCTCTGCTGCCGCGCCACAGCGGACGGGCTCGGCTGTGAGCTGGGCTCTGCCGCCGCGCCTGCCTCCCCCCCCCCCCCCCTCCCTCCCACACTCCCGGCGGCGGCCTCGTCAAAGTCCGCCCCCGCACATACCGGCTAATGACGGCTGGCAGCGGCTCCCGTAGACAACAGCCGCCCCGGCTGCCAGCGGAGCCGCCGTCTGGCCGCGCCGGACTCGGCGACGGCCCGTGACGGAGGACCGGTTCACCGCGGCCCGTGACTGAGGACCGGTCCACTGCGGCCCGTGACGGAGGACCGGTTCACCGCGGACCGTGACGGAGGACCGCTTCACTGCGGCTCGTGACGGAGGACCGGTTCACTGCGGCCCGTGACGGAGGACCGGTTCACCGCGGACCGTGACGGAGGACCGGTTCGCCGCGGCCCGTGACTGAGGACCGGTCCACTGCGGCCCGTGACGGAGGACCGGTTCACCGCGGCCCGTGACGGAGGACCGGTTCACCGCGGCCCGTGACTGAGGACCGGTCCACTGCGGCCCGTGACTGAGACCGTGTTCACCCGGGACCGTGACGGAGGACCGGTTCACTGCGGCTCGTGACGGAGGACCGGTTCACTGCGGCCCGTGACAGAGGACCGGTTCACCGCGGACCGTGACGGAGGACCGGTTCGCCGCGGCCCGTGACGGAGGACCGGTCCACCGCGGACCGTGACGGAGGACCGGTCCACCGCGGCCCGTGACGGAGGACCGGCTCATTGCGGCTCGTGACGGAGGACCGGTCCGCCGCGGCGCTGGTCGAGGGGTCGTCCACTCGCTCACGTCGGCTGATTACGTCGATCGACGGAACTAGAAGCGGTTGTGGTGCGCTGACTGAGCTCATCGCCCATGCTTGGTCGCCGCCGGACGACCGGCTTCGAGCCGCTGCACTGTGGCGTCGAGGAATCGTAGTGTGTCGTGCACTGCGCTGTTAGTGACGTCCTTTAGCGAACAGCATCCTCCTCCCGCTCCCAGGCACGTTCAGGCTAACCACTGCTTGCTATCGCGCACGACTCGCACGCATTACTAACCTAATGTTCTTACTAGCTGGTGTTATGATCACTCGCATGTATTACGCACATGTGACGCACGAGCTCGTATGCTGACGCCGTTGGTAAATGGCGTGCCTGTATGGGACTGTAGAATCGTCACCTTGTCGTTCGTCATGAGTGGGCGTTCATCCCATAAATATTGGTCGTCATGGGTTGTGTGAGTAACGTGTTGCTCTGCTGCATCTGATCGCATGTTAGAAATGTATATGCTATGATTCATTCAACTGACGACTGAATTCCCCGCTTCAGAGTGTTATGCCTCGGGTAATGATGAAGTCTAGCCTGTATTCGCATAGGCGCCCCGGACCACGCGTTGTGACAGACTCTCTCAGTCGCTGCCGGTGTCGTATGCCCCCTACTCTCTTGGTCCAAGCAGGAAAAGTTCTCACTTCCGGGATGTTCGGCTTTCTAAGCTCCCGGTAGGTGTGGCTGTGGGGTCTGTTCCCGCCGGCCGCCCAGCGGTCCCGCTGGAGACGGCGTTCCCACCGGCCGTGTCGCGGGCGGCGGTCCCCCGGCCGTGTCGCGTCCGGCGGCGGTCCCACCAGCCGTTCGCCTGCCGGCGGAGGTCCCACCGGCGTGTCGCCGTCCGGCGGCGGTCCACCAGCCGTGTCGCCGGGCCGGCGGCCGGTCCCGGAGGCCGGTCGCCGTTCCGGCTGCGGTCCCGAGGCCGTGTCGCCGTCCGGCCGGCGGTTCCCACCGGCCACTGTGAGCCGCCGGCGGCGGTCACGGAGGCCGGTCGCCGTCCCGCCGTGCGCGGACTTGCTGACATCCATACGCCGTGTCTCGGCAGAACGTCTGGCGACGCGCCCGACCTGGCCTACTCCAGACTGCCCTGGGATGACCCGGCCGAGACGGCCAGCCTGACCGGCGGGCCGCGGAACACGGCTGACCTGGACGAGGTCACGGACACCGGCGACGGCGGCGGCGGCGGCGGCGGGGATCAGGACTGGCTCGAGCAGGCCATGCGCCAGGAGGGCCTGTTGTAGCGGTCGGCGGCGGCGGCGAGGCTGTCAGCGGCGGTAAGGCTGCCGCAGCCGCAGGGCGGACGTCCAGACGGCGGCAGCGCCAGGCGTGTAGTCGGAGTGGCCTGAGCGGTCTCCGAGCGGCACAACGCCTCGGCGACGGGCCGTGTGACGACAGCCGCCGCCGCAGCCGCCGACCGCGCCCGCCGGTCACGCGCGAAGACCAGCAGCGGAGAGACGCCGTCCGCCGGCGGCTCGTCGACGGATGGCGCGGCATGCCGCCACAATCGGTGCTCGTGGAGCCACGCGCCCCCGCGCCGCGCAGGGGCCGCGCCCCAGTGTCGTCAGCCGTGTCGCGGTGTTCGCGCGGACCGCACGTGAGACCAGCCGTCGCCATGGCGACGCGGGCAGAGTGAACAAAGCGTGGTGCTTGGCATTTGGCGCTTGGTGTGTGGATGCGCTTCTTCGTCTGCAGCGGGTCCCCGGCGTGCCGTCGCGCTGCCGTTCCGGGCGGGTACAATCGTACCGTACCCTGACGTGCCCGTAGTGCCGTGACTGTGTGCCTGTACCGGTCCGACCCGTCCAAGGCACGGAGGCGTGGCGACTCGTACGCGGCGGGTCCGCATCGTTGTGGAAGTATTTGGCTCGACTTTCGCGGACGAGCTGTAGTGGTTGCAGTGTCGCATCGCCTTTTCCGGGCAGTTGCCTCCGGCCGCGGTCGCCCCTGCGGGCTTCGACGCGCAATGTGGCGGTGTTCGCGGGCGCGGAGGTTTTCTGGAGGTTTCCTCCAAATCTGGCGGGCGTTGGAGACCAGTTGATTCGGTGGTGTCCAGGCGCGTCTGGTCACACGGCGTTGTGCGGGCTTTGAGTCGGATTCTTTCACGTTGCGATATGGTACACCGTAGACAGAAGTGTGCGATTGTCTAGTCCACGCGTCCTCATATGAAATCAGCCATGTTCATTTCCAATGCGCGTAAACGGTGTTTGGGAGGAGCTGTGTCCACTCCGCCTGCTTGCTTTTGAGGGTGACAGTTTTGGCGCCGGGTTGAAATCGACGCGCTTCGCTGGCTGTACGACGAATGGGCTGTTAGCGTGTCACTTAAATAATACTAGCCATAATTGGCTGGATCAGATGGGGTGTGACGTCATTGCCGTGGTGGTGGGCGTGGCTTCGCTGGTGTGAAGCGTCCTTTCTCCATTCTGGCTACAATACACTCGACAGCCATGGTGGTCGCCATCTTTGATTTTTGAGTGCAGCTCTCGTCAGCCGGAAGATGGCTGCAGCGTATGAAAGTAATAAGACCTTCCCCGCCGCCTCTCGGGTGGCTCATGCCAGCAACGCTCTAGGAGCCCCAGATATTATGAAAAGAAATCAAATCTGAGCGAAGCGTGTCAATAGTTGCCGAGCCGGCGAAACTTCGGCAACAAAGTGGGTCACAGACAGTGGCGAGGAGTCGAGCCGTCAAGTTTGCGCACAGCCGTCGGGGCGAGTTCGAGCACTGTCGCCATGTTGAAATTTGTCGCCGGCGTTTGTCGGTCGGGCGCCGAGCAAGCCCCACGTGGCCCGTGCCCCTCCCGAGGCGCTGGCAGCGAGGGACACCTCGGGTACTCTTGTTTCTCGTCGGACTGCTCCAGCAGGTCTGTGCAAAATATGGTACGCGGAGATCAAGGAACTATACGTGCAGAGATATCATTCAGGAACGTAAAAGACGAACGAATGGTCGGCGGTGGTCGCAGGATCAATGACCTCCACGGTTCGACGGCGATGACTTCAATGCAGAGCACCCAGTTCCAATCCAGGCAGTTCGGCATCAGTAGCCCATGCTGCTTGAAGTAAAGGTGATAAGATGTGACCCGTCTAGAGCGTGAACAGCAGTTAACACACAAAGTAGGTGGCATCCGTAAACCACACGGGCTGCAGATGTCGGACGGGTTCTTCGTCATTCGAGGGTGGGAGAAGGTGCGGGATTGGCAGCGCGGTGTGACCGTTTCCTAGCGACGACACGTCTGGGGACGACGTGCCACGACCCAGCGACTTATCTGATGGCGACGCCGACCCACTCATGCTGGGTTCCCATCCCATCCCAACCATCCCCGTCCCCATGGCTGGGAGGGGGGAGCCAGTGGGATCCCCAGTCCAGCACGACAGCGTGGCTGGGATGATGGGATCACCAGTCCAGCACGACAGCGTGGCTGGAATGATGGGATCATGATGGGATGGGATCAGTCATGACACAGACACCGTCATGGGTGTGATTCCTGAAAAAACAACAGCGAACTGCCAAGAGTGTCACAGGATGCGGTCCGTGCTTGGGTATGCGGGCTGGGTATTGTGTTTAAGGGCACGTCGTTTGCCAGGGCCAGTATGTGTCCATAACTCCTTCTTCAGTTAGGCCGGTGACGTGACCGGACTGAGAGGCTCGTGGTGCTCAGAAGGTAGGCGGCAAAGAGGAGGGAAGGTGGCACGGTCCCAGCGCCTGACTGGACAGCGTGCAGATCAGGCGCTGGGGTGCTGCATGCGTCTCAGCTGGCGTGCAGAGCGGGCGCTGGGGTGCTGCACGCGTCTCAGCTAGCGTGCAGAGCAGGCGCTGGGTGCTGCATGCGTCTCAGCTGGCGTGCAGAGCGGGCGCTGGGGTGCTGCACGCGTCTCAGCTAGCGTGCAGAGCAGGCGCTGGGTGCTGCATGCGTCTCAGCTAGCGTGCAGAGCAGGCGCTGGGTGCTGCATGTGTCTCAGCTAGCGTGCAGAGCAGGCGCTGGGTGCTGCATGCGTCTCAGCTAGCGTGCAGAGCAGGCGCTGGGTGCTGCATTTGTTTCAGCTCCGCCAGAATGACACCGGCGCCCTGCGTAATCGGTTCAGGGTTGGACAGTTTTAGACGGGGCTGACCGCGTTCTATTCTTGCCCTGATTTCGACTGCCTCACTGTCGCGGCTCGGTCTTCCCGGGCCTCGCCAAGCTCTATCGGAGATCGGTCCTTTTATGCGTGTCATGGCTATCTGCCATGTGTTGGCCGTTTCATTAGGCCGCTGTAAACAGCCGATAGCACACGCAGGTCCTATCAAACACGCGACCAATCGCGGCTGAGCGTCTCGTGTCTGACGTCATGGGCGACGCCAGCTGGAGGCGGTGACGTGATCACGCGGACCTGCGGAAACGCTTGGTAGCTGGGCTCAATGGTCCAATCTTGGGTGACACAGAAATCCAACGGCTGGATACAATGGCAAATGCCTGAGCCCGGGAAATGTGATGGGGCTGTGCAGTCCAGCACTGACTGAACCGCGCTCAGTTTCCGGCCGCCGCCACTAGGGGACGGCCGCGGCAGATTATCTGGCGCTGCTTGCTGCATCCCGAATTGCCCATTGGCGGACGGCTGCCTTCAGTGGTCACTATTAGGACAGCAGTAGAGTGTGGTGGGGGGGGGGGGGGGAGGGTATGTCATACCCGTATTTGTGGAGGGAGAGCAGTGGTGATGGGGGCGGGAAAGTCAGTGTTGAGGACGGCGGAACCAGTGACGAGTGAACAAGAGCCAGAAATCAACAAAACGGACCTCGTGATAGCAAAAATTCGTAGCGCATGTCATTCACTGACAAATTTCTCGGGTTGCTATGAAGACATCTGTACATGCGGCTTATTACATAGACAGCGCCCACGATCAGCAATGAGGCGCAAATGAATCTGAGAGGCCAAAATGACCTTCGTCACTTGAGAAAGCGCTTGGCCCATTCTTTGATATGCATCGAAAGCAATGCCATCAGCTGAAGGTACTCATGGTGCCTTTTAGGCTGGAGGTCGGCTTTATGTCATTAATATCCTAGTTCAGCTGTCATTTGCCATCATATCATACGACATTTATACTCTACATCAGTCCCAAACATCCACTCTTCGTTCCAGGTGCCTAGATATTGAAATCCTTCCTCGAAACCCCGCCAGGAAAAACCATGCCTGAGGTGAGGATATTTACTGCATGAGATTTGAGCTCTTCCGGCTTGGAAAGACGCTGCATAGCTACAGGATTAAAGGGAGAGATAAGAGGAAGAGCGGCTCTGGGTGGTCTGAATAATCAAGATCACTGCTGCCGGGATTTGCCCCACTTGAGACCCAGCGTAGGGTGCGTACCGTGGCCAGGACGCTGTTTCAGCTAGAGTGGGTGACCGCGAGGTGGACACGTGGCCGACAGACACGGCTGACAGTGGCTGACAGCCACGACTGACAGTGACTGCCAGCCACTCATGGCTGACAGCCGCAGCGTGCTCCCCGTGGGGCCAGACACTGCGAGGACGCAGGATGAAACAGCGAATGAGGATTTGTGGCTGCGGGGCGTTAACAGATAAACCGTGCGTCGCATACGACCCCTCCGAGCCTTGGATTGTGCCAGCAGCGAGAGCGCAGAGAGCGGCGAGGCGTTTCGAATGAGTCATCTCGGAGCGCTGCGGACTTCAGCCGTCTCCTCATCTCCGCCGCTATCGCCTCCCCCGCCGTCCGTTTATCACCGCGCTTCGCCTGTTTACGACGACAGCTTCGTCATTAAGATCTGTCTGGGGGCCATGCGTAGTCGGCGCCGAGTCCGTCAACATTAGCCTATTACGCTCGCACAGCCCCCCCCCCCCCCCCCCCCCCAACAGCGCCGCATTGATTAAGCCATCGGGCCGTCGCGTACGACCAGCCCACTGTGCCCTACAGGGAGGCTTTGTTCGTGGCCACGGAAATGGTTGGTAGTCGAGGAGCGTGGTTCCCGCCTAATTTGCCCTCACCGCGCGTGTAAACAAACGGGCCCTCATGATCATTAGCGTCGACAGCACTCAGCGGGTAACCGGGCATAGGAGAACTAATCTAGTGGGGTATCGCGGCCGCCTTGTGGCCGCCGACGACTGGAACTCGATAACGCCTTATTGTGTCACTCCAACGGCAGTGAAAGGCTTCTGCTGTCTCGACGACTATCGCAGTGGCGGGCCTTTTTACTGA